CTCAGCCTCCCAAAGGCGTGGGATTACAGGCTGAGCCACCGAGCCCGGCTCTAATTTTTAAATTTATTGTAGAGATGAGGTCTCGCCATGTTGCCCAGGTTAGTCTCAAACCATGGGCTCAGGCAATCCTCTCACCTCTGCCTCCCAAAGTGCTGGGATTACAGGTGTGAGCCACCACACCCAGCTTACACATTTTTTTTAAACTAAAAAATATAAGATTGCAACTATTGTCATGGTTATTAGCTAGAGCTGTGCTGACCAATATGGTAGCCACAGGGTGGTTATATAAGTGTAAATTAATTAGAGTCTTAAAAAATTAAAAGGTCAGTTCCTTCATCTCACTAGCCATATTTTGAGGGCTCTGTAGCCATGTGTGACTAATGGATCATATTGGATCATGCATCAGTTCCTGGAGAGTTGGAAACCTGGCTGCCCTTACGTAGATGGTGGCTATGGAATGTCAACAACCTTGAGTTTTGGAACACGGGAGAAGAGTCCAGGATCTCTTGGCATTCCATAGTAGATCCTGAGATCCAAGTTTGCTGAGAAATTTCTAATAGGGATTGCAATTTGTATTCATAGTTTACCCTTAAGTTCTTCCCACAGGGTGATGAACCAAATGGGTAGTGAGACAGTGGCACAGAACAGAACTCCGGGCTACTCACCAGTCTGTGAGCCATGGGCCCAGAGGTGCCCTGGTCCTTTTGCTTAGATGAGCCTGAGGCTTGGTGGAATGGCTCTGTGGAGATAACTTCCTGTTCTCTAGATTGTGAAGGACCAGTAGCTTCTTGGTAGGAGCCTTCAAGACCAGCTTCAGTGCTAACCCTTTCATATAAGGAGTGAATTTCCTCTCTAGGTGGTTTCTGAGGGTGGGCATCTGAATAAGTCAGCTCTGTAGGACTGATTTGCCCTTCAGGGGATGGGGCTTCCATATCAAAATAGAATTCCCCTTCAGTTTCAACCTCTCCATCGAACTCAGCTTCTCCTGTGGCAACTACGTCATCATTTTTGACTTCCCCTCCAAATGCAGGTTCGCCTTCCATCGCAACTTCTTCAGTCTGGACTTCCCCTTCAAATGTGGCCTCCCCTTCCGTTTCGATTTCCCCTTCAGGATGCTCCATGGCACCAACAGCTTCTTCACTCTTCTGGTCATCGTCCTTCTTTAGTGGTGACACCTGTAATGGTGTGGCAGGGGAGAAATCGGGAAACAAAGTATAAAGGACCATATGAGGTTCCATTCTTTAGAGTGTAATTATACTGTTGGGAAAACTGCATTTATCTACATCTCTGCATCACTAAAAGATCACGTTTTGTGCTTTAATTTATCTGTGTTCTCTGTTTTTCAAAATCATTGTGCATCCTTCATTACAGGAAATGAGTTCTGAAAAACTCAGGACAACCCAAGAATTGAATATACTTGGCATTCCTTACCACGTCATCTTCGTTATCCTGTCCGTCCTCTCCTTCAAAAGCCGATCTGCTTTCTGGGCGAGACCTGGTTTCAAAGAAACAGTTGGACAGTTTTAAGTAATAGTTTTGTTTTTCTTGGCATTTATCTCCTCCTGAATTCTATATATCTATTTATTTTCTTGTTACTTTTCTGCTCCCCCACTAGGCTGTTGGCTGTGACTTTGCCAGCTATCACTAACTATAGGACTAGATCACACCTGTCAGGCAGCGGAGGACCACAACAGAATTGCTCTATGAATGAACAAAAAATATATTTATGGAAACATTAGAGGAACAGCACAATTAGACCACTCCAGGAAAGTCACCTTAAATACACTTGTGTCTGAGACAAAACTGGGGACAATAAATACACAGTAAAGAAAGCTGCACAGTCAGGATCAGTACTCTAGAGGCTCTCTGCGAATTTCTCCATGATTTACATAGTACAAGAATAGCATGATTCACGTTTTAAAAAATAATTTTTTTTTTTGAGTTGAAGTCTCACTCTGTCACCCAGACTGGTGTGCAGTGACCGCTCCCAGCCACCGCAGTCTTGACCTGCTGGGCTCTGGTGATCCTTCCGCCTCAGCCTTCCAAGTAGCTGGAACTACGGGCGCGTGCTACCATGCCCGGCTAATTTTTTTATTTATTGTAGAGATGAGGTCTTGCTAAGTTGCCCAGGTGGGTCTCGAACCCACGGGCTCAGGCAGGCAATTCACTCACCTCAGCCTCCCAAGGTGCGGGATTCAGGCTGAGCCACTGAGCCCGGCTTGAAAAATATTTTTTAAAAAATGAAAGATACAAGCTAATTTTTTTGGTCAGATTAATACATATGTGTGACATAAGACAATGACAGTTCCCTGTGATAGTCCCTTTTCTTCCCAAAATAGTCGTTGGTAATAATAAGAGATTTAGGGCTATATTCTTGCAGATGTTTTCTACACACGCGCGCGCACACACACACACACACACACACACACACACAATTAGAAATTATACCTCCTGTTTCACGTTTAGTCTCTTCATTTAATTTAACCTGGACCCCTTTCCATGTCAGTGCATACAGATCCACCTTTTTTTTTTTTTTAAACAATACAGGAGTATTTAAGGTGAAAACAAATTATTTAAAATCATTTCTATCTTTTCAACCAAGCATAAGCAAGCAGAGGCCCGGTGGCAGGGATTTTGCTTAATCACACTCTCTGTGCGTCTCAGTGCACCACCAAGGCCCCACCATAGTGCCCACGGTCCACCGCAGGACCGCCTTATGGCGGGGACCCGTCCCACCTCCTTTGCAGGAGGACGGGCTGGGCTGGTCTCCGGCCACAGCGAGCGGCCTCGGTGCAAGGTCCGGGGCAGCATCCGATAGACCCGCTCCGCGTAGGGTACCCCTGCTCTTAAGAGGGCTCTGCAGCAGGGACCACCAAGCATAGTGGTTGCCATGGTTATTGCCGGCGAGTGATTTCCGGGTCGTTATAGGGAGTCGTGCGCTCGGAGTAGGGGAAAGAGAGGGCAAGAGAGGACAAAGGGACAGGAGGTGAGAAATGAGAAGGGGCAGGCGTGAGGGGTGGGTGTGAGCCCGGAGGGTGGAGAAAGGTCCAGGAAATGGGGAGAGAGGAGACCGGTGGGAGGAAAGGGTCATGGAGGCGAGGGAGCGCCGAGAGGGGCTAGGGAAGGGGACGGCGTGGGGGCACCCGGTGCGGACGACCGAGGGTCGCGGCCTGGCCGCTCCAAGTCCCGGTGTCCCCTCGGCCCAGCTTACCCGCCCGCCTGGTCGCCCGGCTTCTCCATCTCCGTTGCTAGGCGACACCGTCAACATCCGGCGGGGCAGGGACCACGAGCGCCGGGAGGGCGGGGGCGGCCTGGGCCCCGCGCGGGGAGGCGCGGCCTTTGTGCCATTTGTATACACATAGAAACACATGTCATCTAGATATGTAAATATCTTAAAGCATAAACATGCGTTTTCTTTCTCGCTCTCTGTGTCCGAGCTCTGCCCCGCCTGGACTCAGGTTCCGTAAAGCGACAACGGTGTCAACGTGCGCCAGCCGGCGGCTCAGATGCCCCGGAGGAACGTGCCGGGCACCCGGGACCCGGGAGGGCTGGGAGCCCTGGGGGTAGCAGGCAGGGTCGGGGGGCGGGAGGACGGTGACCCCACGCCTGCCGTCCGCTTTTCCATCTCCAGCCTGGAGGCTCCGGCATCCCTCCCAAGGGGTCCTGCAAAGGATCCTTGGCGAAGCATGGATGTCCAGTGACCTTCCAGAGAGGGTCGTTCCTCCTTAGCCCAAAATATGAAAAATACGCGGGCAGAGGGCGGCGCCGAGAGGGCGAGCGCGCACTCGGAGCGTCCTGGGGACCCTGCCGTCCTTCCGCGGGGCGCGGGGCGGCGGTCGGGGGCAGAATCCCGGGGGCCAGGGCGGGCGGCAGGGCCTGGAAGCAGGCCCAGCCGGGGACCAGGATCTCGGGCCCGGATCGGGGGCCCGAAGGCGGGCGGGGCCCGGGGACCCGGGCGCGGGCGGACTGGGGCCGGGCCCGAGGCGGGCGGGGGCGGCGGGGGG